TAACCAGAACAAATGAAGAGATGCTATGATATAGATCTCTCAAAAGTCAAGTTGGAGAGGTGTGGAATCACAAGTCTCTTGGTTTACCATTGATCTCCAATCTACACCACATTTTTTAATGGCAACTGGAGAGATGGAATGCATTGATTTTCAGCTGTGCATTCTCATTTTTCTCAGAAAAATGTCCCTGGGAAATATTTGCACTTAGATGCTTGCCCGCTTGTTCAATTAGAGGAGTAATTAGGATCCATTTTAAACCGTGCTTGAACGACATATGCCAACATTCAGAAAGCTTTTCAAAAGGCTCCAGACTCTGTGGCTTTCCAGGCAGCACCCACTGGGCAGCACCATCAATAGGAGTGAGAGGAAAATACAAACAATGGGAGTTGGAGCACTGGCAGCAGCCCAGAGCCTTGTCATGAGCAGAGCCTGAAGGCAAATGCTGGCAAGGTCTGCCCCTGAGCACTGCTGCCCTGCTGCACAGAGCTGTTCCCAGGGAAATCCACCCCTGTGCTCCTGAGAGGGAATGTTCTGGAAAGGAAGTTTTGAGTCCTTGCATCTTTCTTATACTCTTTTTTAGCCTTTGTTTTTATGGAGGGACTTAATATAGTTATTTAACGATTGAAGCTTTTGCTCACAGGCCTTTAATGATAATCACAATAATTATTTTTTATCATGCTCATTCATACGTGCCTCCTGCCAACATGCCTGAGGTGCTGCACAGACATTGCAAAACATAGTACAAATTAAACATAACAAAAGAAAATCCAAAGAAATATTTAAAAAGTCACATCTGATATTAACAAGAGAAAGTCTGTTTTCAAATATGAGGAATTTCAAGATAAAATTGCTGTGAATACAGAGGGATTCTGGCGAGGTTCTTGCCACCAACCCTATCAAATCCACTTAACTACAGCGGATGAAATGTTTGTTCATTTCCCTCTGGCTGGCATCTTCCAAGTACTTTTCTCATTTTATCATAAACTATTTTGAGATTGCTTCTGTTTTCTATGCAACCCAGAAAATACATCTTCTTTTGATACCTGCAGTGCTGCTATAATATGGTCATTTATGGCCATCATCTTTAAAACAGCTAAACTGACAATATGCCATATAAGAAAACATGACTACTGTGTTATACAGAAAGAGAACAAAGACAGGGAGGAAGCAAAGCTTGACAAGATCAAACAAAGCTTGTGGTAGAAAAAGAATTTGCACCCACGTCTTCCAAGTGCTGGCCTATCACCCCAACTAAGCTGCTCTAAACACAAGAAATAGGGGGATTAAAATACAAATAAGTAAATCTGAAATTGTGAAAAAAACAGCTGAGATCTTAAAGCAGATAAATTATCAATTTGTATGCAGTTCATAAATGCATATAGTACAGGTGTCTCTCAAGGCATCCATAGCATTTACAAATTTAAGGATCAATTTGATAAAAAATTTAAACTCTTCTGAATTTGAAAATAAAATACATTTTTCATGTCCTATTTTTCTTGCATGATTCTTAGCTTCTTGTCAGACAAGCTCTCCTAAACCTGAATTCCAGAATATCTGTGCAGCTATTGAACTGCATGTAGTCTGCTTGTTAACAAGAAATGAAGCTGGAATGTAAGTCACTGCTAATTAAACTCATAATTACAAATGGAAGGTCAGACAGCAGATCCAAGAGCTGTTTGAAAATGTAATAAGACAAAAGAAAGAACAAGCTCGCATGTAATAATTCTGCACTACTTGGCAGACTGACCCATTAGAAGACTCCTCAGCTGCACACAGTACTGAGTTGGGAGTGCCCTGGTTGGGAGGTGGGGCACAGGGAAGATGGAAAGTGCAGGAGGTAATTTGGATAAAGGGATTAGGAAGCAGAATTAAAAGATCAACAGAGAGCAGAAGCACCAACTACTGGCAACCGAAAAATTGAGGGCAGCCAAGGAAGGCACACCATATTTCCTGTCAGCTTTGATCTGAGGGGAGAGAGGTTTTCATGTGGGTCTCAAACTCCACGTTTGGACCCATCCCACCACCACGTGACACCAGGATGAATGATGGTCACACAGGACACATGAGGAGCAAGGAGGCACGTGCTGTCACGCCAGACCAGAAAACCAGTGCCTCTTCTTGTTAGCACACTTGAGATGAAGCCCTTGACATTTTGAGAAAATCCAAGGAGAAGAATAGTTTTTCTTTCCAAGTTGAACACGTCCCTTACTTGGGATATAAACACCTGGACAAAAAATCCTATCCAGGATTTACAAAGTTACTGTCAGGAAACAAACAGAGGTGGCAGATCAAAGCTTCTTTCTGCCATCCCTCCTACAGTGGGTATTTCACCTTTCTATGAGCCACAGGAAGCCTCTGAAACTCACAGCAGGGTGGAACAGCCTTGTGAGATTGCCAATGCCAGATATAAAAACCAAAAAACAGTATTCCCCTATCAGCAGGCTTTCATCTGACACGACAATTCTAAAAATCTGCCTTCCAACAGTTAGACTTCACTTCAGTGAACATCTCACCAAGCCCCTTCCAATAAATACTGTTTATGATTTCTATGGCACACTTGTTTTGCAGTGAAATTGTGGAGGCAGTGATCACTGGGTTGATTGACACCTAGTTATTCAATCAAACATACTTCTATTTTACTAGTCACAGACCACATATGCCAAATTTGATACTGAAACAATTTCTATTAGGCATTTTAGAGAAGGCTTGGGAAGAAAATCAGTCTTGTAATGAAAATCTTAACTATGCTGCAGCTACTGCAGCATCATAATACTTATTTCTCTCCTGCTGGCAATTTGGAATCAGCAGCACTGAACACCAGAGGACTTCTCTATGGAGGGAGAGATAACAACAGACATTTACTGAAAGGATGGGGGTTGTTTTCTCTTAACAATGGAAGTGTACACAGATAGATTTGGTAGTTCTCAGCTGGTGAGCAAATATTCAGCTCTAGCTCATTGTGGCTCTTTGGGTGGGAAAAATTGATTTCACATAAATACTCCTTTCTGGGTTCATGAAAGACAGAATGCAGGCAAGCTGAGTAGCAGAGTTAGGCAAAAACATCCAGTGCACATCATATGATCTGAAGCCAGTTAGAATGGGAAGCTGAGGCACAAGGCCACGATTAATTAATGAAAGGCAGTAATTTACTTTCTCAGAACAAAAATACTTGTTCTAAATCTGACAAATTATTTTATAAGCTGTTTCACCTAAAGAGTGGGGACATGAAAATTGTAGCTCAGCGATGGATGAAGGTTCAACAAGAGTTTCCAGAGAGACTATTTCTTTACCCCACCTCCTCTCACCAAGGCACTTCAGGAATGATTTGGGAGCCTCAACCACGGCCACAGGACTGCCTGACACCTCAGGTAGTATGAACTATCCAGACTATGGCTGACAACACCCACTAGAGACCCCTGTCCCTACAGCCAAGTAGGTGGAACAGAGGCAGTGGAACTTGTGACAACTTAAATTTCTTTTGGTGTTTACGTTCTGGCACCTGAACTACTCTGATGACGTTTTCTTACTTCTACATCCTCAACTTGTAAAAGGGGATGTGATAAAGGGACATGGGAAGTGGCAGCTACCATTAGGTATAGAAAGGCATTTAATTACTATTCTCCAGCTGACATCTCTAGCAGTAGAGGGGTGCCTTAGTTCAATACTTGTGAAACGATTCTGAGCAGTTCTTTTACCCAAATAACTTATCTCTTCAAGATTCTTAGCAATGTCCTTTCATTTTAATAAGAAGGGGATTTAAAATCCCTTGTAAATGTTGTAACAGCTCATACTCAAAGGCCTCCTCTAAAAATCCATAGTACTGCTCTTAAACCTCTTTTTTTGGAGATTCTTCATGTAATTACACTCCAACTTTTGTCCTCCTCTGAACTTTGCTGAGCTTTGGAAAGTGCTGATTAGACCAAACAGAAAATTTCTTCTGCAGTGAAAGAAATAGAACCTTCAGAAATTTTTAAGAATATCATTAGTCAAGCTTTCTGGATAGCTATTTGTGTCATGCTTTTCAAGAGCAATTTATTCACTGAGTTTAACTTTATTCCCAATACATCCAGGCATCATACATGGATAGTTTTATTCTACATAGTTTTTCATGTTATTTCCAGAAATTACATGGAGTACTTATTTGTGTTACTGTTAAGATCCATTTGTTATGGCCAAACTAACAGAAAGTGAATTTAAAACCCAAGCCTGTTAATAAGCCTGGTATAATGATGATGATGATATATCCACACAAAGCATTACATTATCTGCAAATGAACATTGGCAAGCTAAAAATTGGAAATTCTGTTGAACTCATGTTTAGAAAAATGGACTTATGTCCTTCTGTGCAGAAACTACAAATGCCAGCCTCACCTCAATGACAATTCTCCTGTTTCAGGAAGAGAACACAAACATTCCGTGCCAGTTTTTTCCAATGCAATCCCAAATGAGAGAAGCAGCTGAACTGTGCCACTCTAACACCCGAAATCCTTGGCTCAACACTTCCTAGAAGAAGAGCCTGTGCTGCACTGCTACTGCTCCACTCCATCAGTACCACATCAAACACAAGATATCAAGCTCTAACCTTGTCAACACTGAGTGTGACACTTCAGTGGCCCTCCCAGTACTCCACACCAGTGTGAAGGTGGAAATTTTGTCCACATTTTGTGAGAAAAGAGATTAAAAGCTTCAGACTTTAAACTCGCAGAAAAAACTCCAAGTTGCATACACACACAGATTGCAACCAAACAACCAGCAGGACATGAGAGACATCTCTTCTGGAAAAATACAGAGCTAAAGTGCCATTGTCCCCTCCATCAGAACTGCTTGAGGGCTGTTGGAGTGAAGGTGAAGAGGAGGAGAGGAGAGAAAAACAGCCACTGCAAATAAGCAGAGTATTTTATTAGAGAGTTATCTCCTTCTTGCAAGAATGAGCACTGAAATGGATAATACCTTCCTGTGAAATCCAGGTTTCCAGCTTCGAGTTAAGAAGAGGCTCTTACCTTATGGGATTATCCATCCTTGATACTGTGAGAAATGCTGCTAAATTCGCTGTGTAGGAAGAACACACAATGAGGGTGAAGAGCCACCAGCTTCCCATTACAATGCGCATGGCCACAGAATTGACAGTGGATTCACCCCCTACAAACAAACAGAGAAATGGAGGGTCTCTCAGCAGCTTCCATTTGCAATCACCCTCTGTGTGCCCATGTATGTTAAACTTCATTAAGTTCCTCTCTGCTTCCCCTCCAGTCTGCCCTTTCACTGTGAGAAAAGCACTGCTCCTGTTAAGGCTGATAATTCATGAGTATTTTCTCCAATCTACCTCTTGCCCTAGACAGTGCTCTAGAAAATTATCTTTCAAAATATTTCCCTTGAGAATTATTGAGGATCAAATCTAAAGAACATGAAAAATATTCTAAATAAAGTTGAATGGTGAAACACAACTAATATGCAGGAATTAAATCATTACAATGTTCAGAATATAGTAATACTCTCTTTTCAATTACCCTCTCAGATTTGGAAAAAGAGCCCCACAGAACTGCCTAATGATTTGTGTGCTATCTTTGTTGTATTTAAATCTGCAAAACTGAAGCATTAGTGTCACTACTTGTTACCCTTTACAAGATTTCAAATCATGTGATTTCTTTCCAGTATTCTTCAAGCACAGCTATGCTTGAGTATCATTGGAGACTAAACCTTACCACAGAGTTGGTTCTACTTACTTCAGCATATGTTTGTGCTGATTATGTTTTACTGCACTTAAACCCATTAAGGCTGCCTCCTTAATGAGATGAGGGACCAAGTTTCATAGCAATAGGATGGATTTTCCAGCTGAAGCTTTAGAAGCTTGCAATCACAATGAAAAAAAATGTAGAAGAAAGTTAACAACTTTATCCATATGTCAGCATTCAATAAAACCTGCCTTCCAAGAATACAACTAGCATTCTAGATAACCTGTGTGGGCAGATTTTGTAAACAATTAGTTACAAAAACTGACTTTATTAATGGCAGCAGTACTACTGAATTCAGTAGGATTGGTCCTATGCCTAGACATTCCTGAGTGTAAAGTTAGTTACATACTCAGTTCAAACAACCAAGAGACAAACTATCTTACATGAGTTCAAAAACATATCCGTTTCTGAGTCACGCATTTTTTTAATCAAAATGCACTTCACTGCTCTGGTGGACACAGGAGGCTCTATTTCTATTTATACATTAAACAATTAAAAAGTTGCTAGTTTCAGAGCTGAAGAAGTGTTGCAGTTCTGCACCCAAGCAGCTATGTTGTTTATTTCCAGTGTAACAATTTTCCCAAAGGGTAAAGTCCTGCTAGTGCTTTTTCTGGACTTACTGAGAGACGGAGAAGGCATAAAAAAAAGGCATAAATCCCCAAACTTGCCTCTTGTGCTCAGCTGGGCTAATGAACCAAAACAGGTGCCCACAGAGGCCCTCTGTTGCACCGTTAGCCCAGTGTGGGCAGCCCCGCGCAGCGCTGGCCACCCCCGGCGCTGCCGGGTCAGTACCTTGCTGCACGAAGGCTCCGTACACGACCCAGATGGCACTGTGCAGGGTGGAGGACACCGAGGGGCCCGGCTGCGCCGCGCCCTGTGCCCGCACCGCCTGGATGCGGCTCAGCACGAAGATCAGCACCCCCACGATCGGGATGGCCGCGGCAATGCAGGCCCACACCGCGAAGTCGAAAGGAGCGAAGAGAGAGAAGATGTTGATCTTCTCCTCGGGCTTTTTGATTAAGATCCCCACGGAATAGTCCATGTAGCGCTTGCTGAAGTCCACCACGCTCTCCCGCTCGGGTGTTATGGTGATGGCTGAGATGGCCAGGTCTGCTCTCTGCAAGAGAAACGCAGCACGTCACATCGCTACCTGCCACCGGGAGTTTGGCCGGCAGGAGCCTTAAGGAGAAGCTTTTTAAAAACCAAGTGATTCCATGCCTTTCCTTCTATAACACAAAACATTTAGATGCATTTATATAAATTCTCTAATAATAGAACCAGAATCACTTTCACCAATTTCACTGGTTCAAAGGGTAATGAAACATAACTTGTCAAGGTTCTCTTGAACGGAAAGCGTGGCCCCCACTCCTCTCTGAAAGAAGGGTAGTTTATTTAACCTTTATCCCTCACTTGTATTCCAAAGAAGGCCTAAAAGCATATTAACCCAGAGCACTACAAGCAGTAAAGAATCCCATTTATTTAGCTTGTGTATTTCATAGCAGGGTGGGTAGAGCTAATGTTTGTTTTTCTCCCTGCAGAATTGCCAACTTTCCATATTCATTAAGAGATTTCATAGGACAACTGGGGAGAAGATTTTGTTTGTTTTTTAAAATGAATAAAGTGATAGAAAAAGCTCATAACGGGAAGAATGCACAAAGGTAACTTTGTTCCTGAAACTGCTTTGACTTCAATATTTTTAAACAAGTAGGTTTTGCATGTAGGTAATCCTTAAAGAGTATGCACACTTGATGAAGGGTAAGATAGGAGTTAATAAATAAGATCCCCAAAGCTTTTGAAGAGCTTCAATTAGATTTTCAATATTTTCTGTCTTAATAAAAAGAGGTCTCCTCAAAAAAAAAAAACAAAAAAAAACAGAATATACATTTGGTTTCCTATCTCTAATTGTGTTGGGAATGTAAAGCAAATATTAGATAAGGAAGGTTTGCTTTGAAACCCTTTGGAGTCTGTGGAACAAATGGTAACAGAAAAGCTATTTAAAAATAGCATAATAGATATTTTATTGCTTCAAAGAAAGCAATTTCCAAAGAAATTTAACAGGAGTTCTTACCTTATTTTTAAATCCATTAAATTAAAATAGTTTATGTCAATGCAAAATAAGCTAAAAATTCTTTATGCTCCCTAGCACCAGCCAAGAACATCCCATTATCACACACATGTTTGCAATAGCTTTAATTGCTTCTATTTCTTCCTAAACATCTCCTTACAGATACTGAGCCACCTATTTACAAGATAATGAGAAAGCTTTCACTTTCAGTAATAACCTCCACTGAAGAAGAGCAACCTTTTCTACAAAAAGCAGCAACATGGAATATGAATTCCTTTGATTCTTCTTGATTAAGAAGAAGCTTGTCCCATGTCAGGTTGCAAGAACATGAACCAAATACACTCATTTAATTCTCTAACAACCTCTAAACTCTATCCATTTACTTAAATGGAGTTCAACTAACTTAGTCCTGGATTTGCAATACTGTAATTAAGGAATTTGGTCCTCTCAGTTTTAAATGAATGAATAATCTTGAGACCAGCTTAAATTCTGATCCCCTGTTACTGGGGCTTCTTTTCCTGTTTGGGAGGCAAACTTGTTATTACTCTTTGTTAAACATATTGTCACTGAAAAAAAAAAAGTTCCAAAAAAAAAAAACTTTCAAAAAAAAAATAACAAAAAAAAAAAAAAAACACTAGTATTTATTATTTTAGGAATACCTTAGTTTTTCCCGTATTTTCTACAGCCATTCCCTCTCATGCAAACATGACCTCTATTCTTATAGCAAGGTAAACACACAGATTTACACCAATATAATTTATGTTGAGAGCAGCTGGAAACAAATAAAACAAGAGACTCTCTAATTCATATTCTGCATACACAGTCTTAAATTCAAGTTTATATAATATTCAAACCCTCCATAGCTCAGAAGCATTCTGCACTAATGCCTTCATCCTAATTCATCCTCCTGTAATTTTTTAAAATGCAGCTGCTTCTCTGTGTACCTTGTTAATGAGTTCCCCAATCATGCCATTCCAGGAGCTGTTTTGGAGCTGGTGTCCATACTTGCCATCAGGAGCTTGATATATCTCATACTTGAAACCTAGGTTCTTGGCCAGTGCATCCAGGACATCAATGGAAAATCCTTTATATCGTTTTGGCTGCCCAAGGATGTTCTCTGCCACCATCACAAAAGGCTCTTCCTGAGAACAAAACAATATCTTAACTGACAATTGAAACAAGATTTTTAGTTTACTTCTCTGAGCAAAAGGGTGTTTTCTGAGTTAATTCTTGACAATTTGGCACAAATTTTGAGATACCTGTACCCTTCTGAGGCAAAGCAAAAATTGTAGGTCATATGGGATATTGTGGAGCTTCCCTACCAGACACCACTGCCTCAGCACTTGAGGCATAGCCTTGGTTTTTCCATAGCTCTTGAGAAGAAGCAGAGACTCCAGAAGAAATTCAACCTCAGATTTAGAAAGCCATCTTTTACATAACAAGGACTCATCTTTTATCTAGGACACATACTAAAACATGAGCTAAAACCACTGAAATTTTGTGAACATTTAAAATTTTGAAAATTCAAATAATTACTTTCATGTCTACTGGTTTCTGGAGTATTTTAATTTAAGTCTGTTTTGGAATCAAGGAAATGCAGAATTTTGTGGAACGGTTTCTGCTGGGGATGGTGTCCTGCTCTCCCACATATCCCAGGGATTTTGGTGGCACAGCCACTGTAGCTGGCTGCTGTGGTACTGTCACAGAAGAGCTCTGCTCACCTCTCACACCAGCTACAGCATAAATTGAGGAATGAAAACTGGGGGCTGGAGGGAATGCCTTCATGTACATATGTACTCTTAGGTACTGTCTATTTCTACCACAATTCAGAAAAATAGAATTGAAAACAACAAAAAAAGACATCATATTCTGCAATCTGTAGATTACAATATCTTAGCCAGGAATGCATTCAAGCCCTAATTTGCCCCTAATGTAGCACTTGGCTGACAGGAGCTCTTTACCACTCCAGAGTTTAACAGACAGTAGTCCCAAAAGCATAATGATTTTTTTGGAAAGATGGCACCTTTCTAAAAGATATATTTTATCTCAATGGGAATTTATGAGCTTGATGCAGGAAACACTTGATTAAATTTTACAGCCTGCAGTGTACAAGAGCCAAGATTAGATTATCATAATTGGCCCATCTGATCTTAAAATCCATGAAATGCTGAAAACTGCCTATCCAAGCTTGAGGATGGTATCTGGAATACACCCCTGTGCACTCAGGCCCTGTGCTGTTTTTATGCCTGGTAGGAATTACAATGCAGAAAAATAGCATAAGCAAACAAACAAATGCTCTGTATCACAGACAGTGTACAGCTTCACATAAAATAATAAAGGGCCATCATCTATCTTCCTTGTTATGTAATTGATCATCCAAAAATACAGAACTGAAAATGATAGGGGAAAACACTATGGGAAGTGCCCAAAATATTCAGTCAGATCCTTTTTATTTTGAGCATTTTGTTTCCTGAACTCAGAAAGGATCGTACCAAGACAGTCACCACTTTGAGCGTCACTCCCTGTAAGTCGTTGCCCAGACGCCGCTCTTGGAGGCTGCCGTTCAGTCCTTTCTCAGAGTCCCACGTCGCCAACTGGAACACAAAGCACTGAGTCTGAAGCACTGCCAGGCAGGAATCCTTCAGCATTTACAAAATGTTTAACAAGCAGCTTGACCAAATCCAGAACTGATAGAGGGAGGTTGAGAGGTGTGTGGTTTTCTTTAATGCAGCACCAGAATGAGTGTGATTCAGAGGACAGACAAACACATACCTTGCCTGAATGTATGTTCATTGATGGGAGCAATATAAATGCTCTATTATCTGTAGTATTTATCATTCATTTCACTTAATTCACTCTGACATTATACTTCTCAGTAAATCTATATTGCCTGAGGGTCCTCAGGATTACCCGTGGTTGCACTATCCCAGATTTCCCCCGCTGCTCCAATCCCTATTCAAATACCCCATGTTTATCAAAGACCAACCTTTTTTTCCACAGTGTTTTATCTCACCTACAGTCATAAATTCTTGACACAGGTTCTATGGTGTCAAACTGTCTCAACTCACATTTTCTTCAGCTCCTCTCTCAGGTCTTGTTTTCTCTGTTCTTGTCCTACTTCTACCTGATCTCTAAAACAATTGCAGCCTCTTGAGCTCCTGAAGAACAGGTATCTCATCTCTACCAGATGTACCACATGCATGTTTTCAGGATATCTCCCTGGAACATTACATCTAAATATTTTATTTTTCAATTAAACGTATCATTTTAAAAATTAATTTTACTGTATTTTCTGAAGAGAAATACAGTCCAATTCAATAGAACAGGTTCAATGGAAAACTCAATTTTTAGTGACCTTTGGATTATTCAAACTAAATATGCTCCTGAGCAGCAGCAGTAATCAGACTCCTTTTCCCTTCAAACAGAATCCACAGTGTCATTTTGTTCAGAAGAGACATAAATAGTATCAAATAGAAACTGTTTTCTTCTTTTTTTTTTTTTTTTCTTTTCAGTTGTACTCTTAAACACCAATATTATGCTCACATATTTGGAAGCAGTGCTGTTAGCTGAAGGCATGCCCTGTAGAAATTAAACACAGTCCAAGATCTGTGAAATATGGATTTCTCCTGCCAGAAGCTAATTTTCATGTAACAAGTCAAAATCTTCTTGGAAAGAACTTATTTCACTGCAAATGCCTATGGCTAGATGTCTTACATGATTTATTTCTATGACTTCAGTTTTATCCTAAAGCCTCACAAATCAAATCAACAAATAAAATGTGATGGAAGAGATCTGTATAGTTTTATTTCTGGTTTGTTGCATTAAACTGATAAACAGGGAACTAGAAAAGAACAAGAGGACAATATTCACAATATTCAGTGAATATTCAGCAACTATCACAACTGATGAAAATTATTCCACACTCACTAAATCTTGAAAGCTGAGATGCAGGAGAGGAAAGACTTAAGGTAAACCTACTTTTATTCAGATGACCTGGAGGATGGAGGAAGAGAATGTATGAATAATTTTCAGCTTTCTAATGAAACTCCTGGAAGCTAAAATACCTCAGATTAAACAATCTCCTCCTGTGATGGCAGTTTGGAGTGACAGAGGAGTGTCTGCACATCAAGTGTCTGCAGCAACACAGGCAGATAAATAACTGTAGCCATGGTATCTTGTGAATTTGAATTTAGATGCTTGCTCTGAGATATTCCCAGATGTTCCTCAGCCCTTGCTACCGCTAAACCACATGGACAGATTTTTCCTTTGACATAAATCAACATGGTTCAACAGACTTCAAAGATCAGTGTAGGTGTGTATAGCATCTACTGTGTCTCAAATCTGTAAAGAAAGCTTGCTGTTTAAACATTCTTTGCTTATTCTATGCATATGATCAAGATTTTTGCCAAAATGGCTTGCAAAATCTACAGGTGATTATTAAATAGTCATTAAATACGGAAAATATAACACATTCAAGTTATTACTTCATCACTGGTGGAATGACACACCAATTTTTTCTGCTACACATGCACCTTTCAAAATCTGAGTTCATACAAGGGCCCTATACTTCTCAAATACTCTGTTTCATATTCTGCACTACCTTGAAGAGTTCCAAAAACTAGTGGAGACAAGACAGTGTAAACCCATGACTTTTTTTTTTCTCAAGAGGAGCAAAGATTCTTCTTCTATGCAGCAGGGGTAAGTGTAAGGGGAAGGATCATACTTTGCTTCAGAAGAGTACTCCAGAGTACAAACTTTTTTTCAGCCTCTTCAAAGCAAACTATAGAAATAAAAATCATAAATGGAACATAAGGAAAACCATTTCCAGAAGGGATTTTCACTGTGTATCCTTGTGCTTTGGAACACTTCATTTAAGAACTATGCCAATTTCATCTTCCATTTCTTGGAGACAGAATGTTGTTTAAGAGTACTGATGTATTTACAGATATGTATATCAATTTGTCACAGCTGACCTGTCAAGATCAGTGCCTGAGAAACTAATTTCCAGCACGGTTACACACCATGAGTACTGCTGTTAAGGCCATTGGAGTTTCATTCTTTGTAGAAATATATACAAATTTCCTACCAGAAGTCTGGAGCCAAAGGTTATAGCACAGCCATCAGCTGATAGGAGATAAAGGGCTTTTAGATCTGATTATGAGAAACAACTTCTTGCAGAATCAGCACTTGTAGGATGCGTTTAAAAAAAAATAAAAAATCAATGGTCTCTGGAACACACATTTAATGGCAGTCTGAGTGGGATTTTTTGATTCTCAAATTACCTGGTTATGTGAGTTCAAGCTTTGAAATTAGCTACTTAAAACATCCTAGCTTTTCTTTCTGAAACAGCCCTGTCACTGAGAATCCTCTAGTTCTAGCCATACAGCAGAAGCTAAACCATCCAGCAAAAGCTACCCAGAGGAAACAAATGTAGAATTCAGACATGAAGGAATTTGTTGGAAAATTCTAACTCAAAACATGCTTCCAATTTTAGTCAATATTTGCTGCATTTTCAGCTAGAACTGCAAGGAAAGGTTTGGAGACAGAAAATAACAATTTTAAGATTGTTTTCACCCTCCACAAGCAACGCAGGCTGAAACAAAGATACTTACTCAAAACACCATCAAAACAAATGTCTGTTACAGAGCCAACCAAATGGAGATGCAAATTATCCCAAACTACTAGTAAATTCAGTTGAAAACAGACATTAGCAAATAAAGTAGTCAGTGTTTTTATCACAGTATTGAACCTGATTATCTACCCTATTTTAGTTTACAATGCAGCAGTTACTGTCCAAATAAGGCAAGACATTGATATCTACCACAATTTTAAGTATGACACCATCCTAAACATAGTCTACTTTTCAGGAAAAACATGATTCACATAAGAAATTAAGAAGATAATTCTCAGCAGATGTATATTAATGTTTGAAATTGTTACAATCCATGCAGAGTATACATTTTCTATTTTACTGTCATGGTTTGACACTGGCACAATGCCAGTGCCCTCATGAAAATGTGATCCCTCCCTTGAATGCTGTGAAGTGGAATCTAGAACAGAGCAAAGCAGGCCCAAGCTTAATAACAGGAAAAAAAAACTTTATTAAACTACCACTACAAAAGAAAAGAGAAAACTAAAGAAGGGAAAAAAACCACACAAAGATCCAAATGAAAACCTTGCAAACCATTCCTCCCCCCCACCACCCAACTCCAACAAACCACAGTGAGACACAATCTGGACCCCAATCAGGTTTCCACCCTCCAAACAATCGACACTCAGTCCATCGAGGGAACAGAGTCTCTCCTGTGCCACAGACCCCCCCAAGAAACACAGCTCCACATCCTGTGTTTCCATGTCACACATGGCACCGCTCGGAGAAAAGTTTGCCATGGTGACCCTTCTCCTTTCCATGCACAGTGCTCTCACCACCAATGCATGGATGGTCAGACTGCCTTTAGGATATTTCCTTTCAAGGATGCCCTGCCAAGAGGGGAGAAAACAACAGTTCAGTTTTTCATTGTTTGGGACCACAGTCCCCCCCATTTTCCCCTGGGGCCGAGGGCTCAAGAACAGAGATCTTCTTCTCTTCTCTTTCCTTTCCAG